GAAGAAGAAGAAGAAGAAGAAGAAGAAGAAGAAGAAGAAGAAGATGAGAGGGGGACGAGCGACGGGCGACTCCACGACGCTGGCGACGGGCGACGGGCGACTCCACGACGCTGGCGACGGGCAACGGACGACTCCACGACGGCGGGTGAGTGCAGCTCCCAGGCAATGGCGACAACAAGCAGCGCGAGGAGCGAGGGCGGCTCAACGACGAACGCAGGCGGCTGGAGAAGGGGCCCTGTTTGGACAGCCGATGCAGGCAGCCCCAGCCAGTCGATTGTTCAAACGGGGCCTTGGTTTTCCCTCCAAAAAACAAACGGCCCTCTGGCCGTCGATCATGGATGATCGACGGCCGGAGGGTCGTCAAAAATTCAAAAAAAAAAACATGCCTCACGGGCCCGACGCGCCGTTTTCTGGGCGTGGTCGGACCCGGTAGGCCCTGGGGAGGCCAAATCTTGGCGATTCGGGGTCGGAAACCCCCTGCCAACAAGGTGTCCTGGGGGTGCCCGGCCCCCAACCGGGCTGCCCGCCTGGGACCCTCCCCCGGGCAGGCGCTGGTCGGCCGGGCGGCCCGGATCCGTACTCAGAAAAAAGCCTTAAAAAAATACTAAAATACTAAAAAATAGTAAAATAAAAAAAAACCGTTTCCCCAAGTATGGGAGTACGTATTCGGGAGTACCCACCGATGAACAGGAGAACGTGTTCTCATGTCCGCGAAACCCGCGAACACGTTCCCCGTGCTACACAGTTTGGGACCTTCCCCAACTGGTTCATCTGGGCAGCCAGAGGCAGCCTGAGCGGCCAGCCTGATATATTTTATTTTTGTCTGAGGGTGCAAACTTGCAAAGCAATCAGTCGTGAAGGTGGAGCCGAAGGGGCTACGGCTGACAAAACAGATGCTTCCAGTCAAATAGAGGATATGGCTGCTCTTGTCGTTTACGGAGAGTGCAAAAGGCGAAAACATATTCAAAACAGAAAAAATAAACATGTTTTTGAAACACCTTCTTCTTCTTCTTCTTCTTCTTCTTCTTCTTCTTCTTCTTCTTCTTCTTCTTCTTTGTCTTCGTCTTCTTCGTCTTCTCCTTCTTCTCCTCCTCCTCCTCCTCCTCCTTGTTTCTTCTTCTTCTTCTACTGCTGCTGCTGCTTCTCTCACACCTCCTGGTACTTCTTTCTTTCTTCAACTTCTCCTTTGATTCAAACTCCAAATCTCAAAGCTCCCCTGCGCCAGTGCCATCACCATCTCATAAATTATAAATATGTAAAAAGAAGCAGAGGCACGAACTTAATGTTTGTTTTTCGTTTTGAATAAGTTTTTGGTTGCTTCTCCACCTTTTCCCAACTATGTGTGGCTAGCCAAGAACAGGCTGGCGTTCCGGAGGCGATCGAACGGCTTTTACGAGCTGGACTGAAACTCTGGGTGTTGACTGGCGATAAGATGGAGACTGCCATTAACATCGCGTATGCATGTGGCATTCTGCGGAAGGGAATGGACAAGATCATCATTAGTAGTGAGTCAGTGGCCAATCAATCTTCCACTGGTACCAGCTCAAGGTTTGCTAAAACAGATCCTTCAACAACTGCAGCACAGCGAAGAGAACAGGAACGAGCATTGGTATCTCGCCAGGTAAGACTTTGAGCCTCATCATTCGTCCAGTCAAAAAGAGAAACCAAGAGCATTTATTGCCAAATATCGATGATAATGACAATGATAATGATAATGACGATGATGATGATGATGATAATGATGATGATGATGATGATGACGAAAGGTATATGATGATAGATGATGATGATGATTAGAGTTACTCTGAAGCCTGTTAGATCTCCAATGTCTGTCAAAAGTCAGAATCGAATGTGCCTTTCAGCAAATGCGATTTTGCTGTGGTACATGCATGGTTGGTTAGCGGTAAGGGTTAAGGGTTAAGGTTAAGGTTAAGGTTAAGGTTAAGGCTCAAGGGTTTGGAGTGTAGGGTTGTGGGGGATTCCCTCTGCTGCTGCTCTGTGAGCAACATTTCATACCTAAGATACCGTCCATACTCTCCTCTGCTACAAATGTCTGCGCAATTCTAAACCCTAAACCCTAAACCCTAAACCATAAACTCCCAGGCCTGTACAAATGTCTGCTGCAATTCTAAACTCTAAACCCTAAACCTTAAACACCCTAAACTCTAAACTCTAAACTCTATACCCCCTGAAATGTAAATCCTAAACCCTAAGTCCTATTCCCTAAGCCCTAGTGACCTATACAAATGTCTGATGCAATTCCAAACCCTGAACTCTACCCCCCCTAAACCCTAAACCCTAAACCCTAAACCCTACCCTTAACCCTGAACTCTACCCCCTCTGAACCTTAAACGCCCTAAACCCTAAACCCTGATGCATGGGTCCTGGGGACCATCTCACGCAAGTGTGTACATGCCATGCATCGTACTCCCACACACAATGAACAGTAGTCTGACAATGGACAAAGATAGAGAAGATGAGGACCGAGTTTCACAGTTTATATTATCAGAAATATGAATACAAAGTGTTTCAAAGTTCCCCTGAGTCCAGCGCTCATCAGCGCAACACCAATATCTTGCCAACTCATCAATATGCCTTCCAGTGAATCAGTGCTACCCCTGCAGATAGTCTCCAAGTCATCAATGTGGTCACCACTCATCAGCGCCACCTCTGCAGTTCACATCCAACTCAGGTAAGTATCTTCCATAGCCAACCTTGAATGAACACTCTCAGCCTCMWTCCCTTCCTCCTATGATGCATACACACTCTTCAATACTCATGAGGATCTACTCTGGATACTACTCATAGCTACATACTAACCCTCTACTACTAATGCTAACTCGCTGGGCAGCTATGGCTGCGTCACTTCCAGCGTACAGGCATCTTCCTCCCTCCAGCGCGTCTT